AGTTTCCTTACACGTAAAGAAATAAATCTCTTTGTTTTTTTTCACCAACCGTCCTCTTTTAACATTTCTCAGAAGATCTCAGCATGGAACCCTTCCTCGAAACTGTTCCCGGAAACCCAAACCTTCGAAAATTTTAATTGGGTGAAGAAATTCACATCTGAACTAATTCAACGAGTTTCCTTACACGTAAAGAAATAAATCTCTTTGTTTTTTTTCACCAACCGTCCTCTTTTAACATTTCTCAGAAGATCTCAGCATGGAACCCTTCCTCGAAACTGTTCCCGGAAACCCAAACCTTCGAAAATTTTAATTGGGTGAAGAAATTCACATCTGAACTAATTCAACGAGTTTCCTTACACGTATAGAAATAAATCTCTTTGTTTTTTCACCAACTGTCCTCTTTTAAGATTTCTCAGAAGATCTCAGCATGGAACCCTTCCTGTACCTCGACTAACAATGAAAAATAATCAAGCTTATCAAGAAATCTATGAATAGCAGTTTTAAAAGTGGCCGTTTTCAACTGAATATTTTGTTTCTATTTTCCTCTTCATAAATCTGAAGATTGGGCCCGCGTGTTTTGATACAAGCCACCCTTTTCAAGGGTTTATGAACATGTTCTAGCCATTTCGCCGGCCCCTTAAGCTATCGACATCGAAACACTATCTAACCACAAAAGCGTAAGTTGACAGATCGCTACTGACAATTTCAATTGAACAAGATATTCAAGTAGCTTTTTTTGTCTTAAGTGCACGTTAAACCTTATGACAACAGATGGGTTTTCAAAGAAAAGGCTTAAGATGCCCTTCCATTGCCGATTAACAAATAAAATTGTGACAAACTGGAAAATTGCTTTTAACAATGCTACCAGCAGATTTATTTTTCTTCAGCTGAGGCATTCGAACCTCCAAAAATTTCGAGTCGACGGCAGTGCTTAGCGTTTGGTTATTGTGTACCTTACTTGACTTTAACTTAAAAAATAATTCTCAAAAGTTTAGTAGACTCCCAGTGGGGGTTATGATTTTATGATAGATATCCACTTTGCCGGTTTGCAACAAGCTAATAGAAAAGCAAATAACTACAAGCAAGCGTACTTGATTTAATTAGCACCATTGTTTGCAAGAGCTCCACTTTTGGTCAAGTGAAATTTACCCACAGTGTTGTTTGGAACGTCCACGTGTAAAAGAAAAAGATGTTTAATTCATTCACACACCTCAAGTGTAGATTAGAAAGATTGCATTCAATACTGAAGGGTTTAGACGAAATAACTCCCTTTCTTTTCAAATCAAAAGTGTGAAAGCACAGAAATACAATGGAACCACTCAAACCTTTCTTCAAAAGCCGAAAAAGTAATCTTTTCTCATTACCTAAATTTTTCTGCGCCCATATGTTTGCTATACGGAAATCAAAATTCCTCTCGACAGAAACACGACAATTAAACCACCCCAAAGCCAAAATGTATTTCCTAATTCCATTATCGTATGCGCTTGTGGCGGCGCGTGAAATGTAAACATTCTTACTATAAACAACCCCATTAACACGTACAAAATGTTATGTAAATACCAACGTTTACCTTTCTAATTTTAAAAGATACCTTGTTAAAACTGTGTTTAACATCCAGCCTATCTTCGTACACACAGTTTCTTGATGCGAATATGTGTTGTCTAAGGTTTTATCCACCGCGAAACCCACAAAACCAGTGAATTTAATTTCAACAGATTCTTATCGGTTCTGACAGACAAGACAAGCTCTGCAAACAATAGAAACCCAGTCAAATGTCCCTGCAACAACCGACAATCGATGGAAGACAACTGCAGAGGCAACGCACGCTGAACGCACGCACGATCGTTCTTACAAATACAACTAGATACTCTTGGAAATATTGACTTAACAGGTTTAATCTCTTTGAATGTCAACCGAAAGTGAAGAGGGGGCGTACCTTCGCAATTTGCACTCAGATTTGAACAAGACGGTAATATGACCGTAGCTGCAAGAGTTTTTAACATTCCCTATAATTAACACTTGTACGGCAAGCCCAAGGCTAGTTGACCCTCTAAATCGGTTTCTCTATTATGCGTCTCTGTTCGACCAGAGGAACAATGAGCTCTTCCGATTTAATGCAGGCTTGCAGCTGGAATCCTTATCGCCCGTTTAAATTGAAGGTGTCATTGATTGTACGCCAAGTCGTTGATGCGCCCTCAGTACAGGCAGAGCATCAATCAGAAGCGGCACATCAAAAGGTTCCTAATTAAATCTATCAGTTTTTAAGGCCATCGATAATTTCGCAAACCACGCCTGATGGCACAATATTTTGCTTGCGTGTGTGTTCAAAACCCAAGGCCGGTGAGTCGAAGCGCAAAAGTAAGTTTTCAAGGGAAAGAAGTAACAGCTAAGAAGATCGAAGGGGAGGTATTGCGCTAAGTCACCCGTATCAACATATCTCGCGTTCAAATCACTGCAGATTGTTACTTCGGCGGGACTGCTTTGATCATAGTAAGGTATGAATAGCTTTAATACGCCTCCATATTTTAACATTTGCAGAGAGCTCTGAAAAGAACCAATGTTTACAAAATGGTGCTTGTTAATGTATTCGTTTGGAATCGCGGAGTTTAGAAACAAATTTATATTCCATGGCCCAGAAATTGCAATACATTCGAATGCCGGCAAACAAAAAGTAACTTAATACTAATTTGACTTCGCGCATCACGTCGGGAAACTAAACAACGGTTCTTACAGTGTTTTCATTCTCTTCGACGAAGTCCATTTAAAATTGTCTTATCTCTTTGGATTCTTTTATTTTAGAAAACTTTCTTATTTGTTATAACATCTACGATTTATTGACGGGGATTAATTTTGTATCGTGTCATTATAATGTCTACTTACTGAATGCATGGTGAGAGTGTATACATACATAATTCTTTGTGATAGCAGTAAATCTTTGGTAAAGCGATTCTCTGCGGGAAATCCGCTTAAAAACACCACATAGTGCGATGAAACATTCACCATTTATACAAACCCATTACAAAGTTGTATTCTTTCGAGAAACCCCGCCGATAGAAATTAGGAACGACATCGCGTACCCGATGGGGTAAATCAAATTTGAGTCTTATTTAGTCGAGAGTTTTGCGGAGCAAACAACACTCTTTGAAATAAATTGCAATTATCGTCCTTGCTAGTTAGAAAACAATTATCTCCGTCGCTGTGAAAATCACATCTCAAAACAACCTCAAATTAAATACATCCTTTGGAAAAATCTCGGTGCCAGATCTCAACACGAAATAGTCTTGGAAGTAAAACAGTTTTCTGGATTCAGGAAGTAAGCGTTATTCAGTTAAAGTCGAATATCAAGACGGGTTTTCAATCGTAAACAAAACTTTGGAATTTTTTATAACTCTATACACGGATCAGTAGGCCTAAAGTGCTGTGTCTTTATGGCATCGTATTTACTGAACAACCCTCGACCGCCCCTTTTCTCAACTAAAGAACGCCCCCGACTCACTGTGTGCCACCCACAAGCTGGTTTTTATATCTCAAACATCTCTCGACAAAGTAGAAACATTGGTATTTCTGAAGCAGCAGCCATCATAACGGACTAGCACGGCGAACACAATAGAATAGCGCGCGAGTTGAAGCACACAGAATCTTATGTCGCAGTGTAAAGCTTTTCCAATTGAGACAATTAAGGCTTCCGATTCCAATCGAAAGGTGTGAAGTGGCAGAACTCGAAATCTTAGCCCATGCAGCTGCAGTATTTTGGCTAGATGTAATTGTCAACATTTTGGCGAGCTCAGAAATTATACTTTCAACGCCCGCCTGAAGGTCGATAGAGTTGGGCCTTTGTTTGTTGGTATGGATTGGTCGCGAATAATAGTTCCATTTGGAGAAACTTATTATATATCAACAAATCCCTATCATTCAATCACATTGTGTCATGAACGGCCCTGCTATATCGCTGATTGGCTATGTATGAGAGTGGCGGCATCTCAAAAGGCTACGTACTTGGGGTTTTAGCTTGAATTGAATCAACAGTCCATTTCAGAGCTCGCGGGGCGTAGAAGTGTTCGTGAATTTGCCGACCAGAATAGATCACAGAACTGCCCTGAATCAACCCAAGCTTGAATTCTATGAGCAGGGTTTTTTTTTTCATCAGGTTTGTTCCGTTGTATTTGTACAGGAATTTAGTGTGATTTGATTAGCAACTTTAAGCTGATTACACCACGCTTTCTAATACGATATGTTTGACGGCCGCTGCTCGCTTCTGTACACGTTTGATTTTGTACTTCTTGCAGGAACCGGGAACACGGACAGATAACAGATTGACACCTCTTGCGATGCTCGCAGCGACTTGCAGCAGAATAGGACAACAATCCCCGCAACCCGTAACTGACGTGACAAGCATGGCTAAAGGTTTCTACCATTGGAAACAACCGAATTCCCTTCCTATCCAGCGCGGAAGACCGACCGATGGTGGCTTGTATTCCAATCTGTCGTCCGCCTTTATGCCAACCAGCGAATCTTTAAGCGTTCAAAATCACGACAGTTTCCTCACCAATCCAAGCTATACAACAGGACACAATTCGCTCACAGATCCATTAGCTATCGCCTCGGCGAGTCGAGTTCATTCTGCTTCTGTCGAAGCATCAATTTACCCAGCACGGATGCCGCATCCCTACGAAAGCTCGCCTTGGTTTAAACCACCTTTAGAGCCCCATTCACAGGCTTCAGCTCGGCAGGCGTTCTGGGAAGTACACAGTAAACCCCCCTGGCTCGACTCAGCCGTATCAGGCAGCTCTTTTCATCCAACGTTAAGCCATTTTACAGGACTGCCGCATGAATACTCTACAGGAAGTTTACCTATTCCTGCTGCGGTTTCTGTGGCGAGTCATCCGCATTTTCTACCCCCTCCCTGCCTCGGATCCGATCCTATGAAAGCTTCTCTTCCAACGTACATAGATGGACCTTCTTACTTTTCAGGGACGACAAGTTTATTGCCTTCTACGCAGAGTGTGGCAACGAGAGCGACCCGACGCTACACTGGTCGCGCGACCTGTGATTGCCCCAACTGCCAAGACAACGAGAGACTAAGTGCGGCCGGTGCACCTTTTAGGAAAAAGACTCAACACATTTGTCACATTCCGGGATGCGGTAAAGTGTACGGGAAAACCTCACATCTTAAAGCTCATCTCCGCTGGCATACTGGCGAGCGACCATTTGTGTGTAACTGGTTGTTTTGCGGAAAGAGATTTACTCGATCCGACGAATTGCAGAGACATTTACGAACACACACTGGCGAGAAACGATTCGCTTGCCCCATCTGTAATAAACGTTTCATGCGAAGTGATCACCTGGCAAAACACGTCAAAACCCATAACAATGAGACGGTGAAGAAAGGGGAGTCAGAAAAGGGAGAGAAAGAAGATGAGAAAGCCACTAACGGCGCTGACATTGAACGCTCTTGTAACCTGTCTGAAAATGGCGAAAGTAACAGCTTGAAGGTTGCCTAGCTTGTCAAAGCTAAAGAGTAGTAAGACGTTACGATTTTACTGATAAAATGTTTTTTCTTTTAAGCTATTACGCTCTTCCTAAGACAGGAAAGCTTTGAATTCATGAAAGCAAATTTATCATTTGAAACCTTTGTGAACTCGGCGAAGACGAGATAGCGGTAACGTTGTACATGTTCGCTTGACGTCGGCGCGAGAGGGTAAAGGTATAAAATTTCCAAGTTCAAACTTGTTAAAATGAAACACTCACATATGGTTCTCACGGCTGAGATTGATTGTGGATTTATAATCTTTGTAAAGAGACTTCAATTCTGATCGAAGTTATCTTTCTTGATGAACTAAACATTGTCTAGTGAACGGAGCAACAAAGGACAATTTATTACTTGTTTGAAATAGGGAAAGAGAGAACATTTTTATGCTATCAAAATGACACATTTTGAGCCTTGTTCAATTGTATTTAAATACTGTATATTGGAAGTTATTTAATTGAACAAGCCTTCAAAGATTCAGTCTTTGATATTTACCATTAAGTTGTACATAAAACCTATGAAGCAAAGCTGAACCTTGAAACTAAATTAAAAAGAGAGAGAGAGTACTGTTACAATTGAAAAGATGGTGTGTTTGAGTCATGTTAGTGGTCCTTAATCTGCAAACTTAAGTTTCTTTGCGAGTACGAATTACATCACTTTACAATTAGAAAGACATAATACTCATAGTTTCAGACACATTGGGTTCCTAGTGTGAACTATAATGGCTTTCCATGGGGGCATACAAATGGCTTTCTATCAATCACGAACATTATTGGAATTGAAATGGCTTCCCACTGCAAAGTAGTTACAAGTCTCCAGATAACCACTTTAAAGCATTGTTTTCCTGAATATCCTCGATTTAATCCCCGGTTTACAAGTGTTCTGTTTGTAGATATGTATTCCCTAAATTGTTATCCTTTCCGATCTACTAGATACAGCTTCGTTCCGGGTGTTACTTTAGATCGAATGTTCTATCAAACCGTGTGAAAAAATCTCTCAATGGTTCAAAACTTTAGGGATTAACTGAGATTTATTTTCCGTTGTGGTTCAGTGATGGTCAAGAAACTCACTTAAGTAGCGGTAATTTTACAATGGCACTTGAAATAAATCGCCAGACATGGTTCGCTTTCTTTTATTTACTAAACATACAGAAACTGACCCTGGCTAAATCCAACACATTTCTACAAAAGATGGCCCCTTTTTCCTTTTTTTTTTTTTTTTTGAAAAACATCTATCCAATTGCCTTAGTTAAAAGCCTAGGTAAATAAATACCTATTCAGAATTTTGAATTCTTTCCACGGAAGCTCCAAGGCGAAAACTAACCCACTTCCCTTTAGAAAGATATTAAGATCTTTTTTTTATTTACTTTATGATATAGAGAGAAAACTTAACCAATGGAAACAAAGAGGTTCTCTTGCATTTTGTGTAGTCTTTTCGTGTCTAATCCAGGTTAAAATGCACACAAATGCGCGTGGGGGAAATCGAGCACGGAAGTCTACAAGTATTAAAGTTGATTTGAGAGGAAACGTTTTATTTGTAATGCTTATCAATTCTCTTGAAGTGCTCTTTTACACCCATTTTGAACGTTTCTCATTCATCTCGTCAAGATACGGGAAGGGATAATTATTTCCCAGTATTCGGGTAGTTAAGATCTCTGTTAGACTAGCCGGGTCTTCAATCTTCATTAATGTAGGAGACGCTCTAGCTTGCTTGCCGCCGTACGGGTGTCACGTTCGGATAATTGGAATAATCACAAAGCAAGCTGTTTGACAAGCTGGCACTCCTCCTGTATCACTTTTATAAACACAAATTCCTTTCTCTCCCGCTCTCTTTACTTAGCTGTGGGTATTAGCGAGAAGCGCCTGTTTAGCGCGAGTTTCGCGAATGGAGGCGCCCTGCATGAAACTTACCGCGAAGTAAAGACACCTTCACGCTTGAGAAATTGAGTTTAATTCTTGCCTAAACACAACATAAACAACTCCGCGTGGAGCAGGAACGGATCAGATTTCCTACTTCGCCTAAGGCTATGGAAAAAATTGTGATTGATGTAGGTCATATTTATTAAAAAGGAGTCGCGGTATTTTTGTGAGGAAAAAAATACAGAAGTCATCGGCGACCGGAAAACTTTTAGCAACAAAGAAACCACAAAGAATTAGCGCGACGACCTTAATATCTTTTGCGTAAGAGATTTTTTCTAAAAGACTTTTTGCTTCTTTGCTCCAGATAATCACTGTTTTTGTTTGTTTCTGCCTTTGATGATATGGCAATTTTAATTCAGTGAGTCCCTCGAGAGCTCTGTCTTTGAGGGCTTTGAACTACCTTAGACACGCTCGATAAACAAGCCTAAATTAGAGCGAGAACGGTATGCCGACAAAGGCTCCCTCACGACCGCCTCTTCTAAATTAGCGATCAACTTCTTTGCAATTGTCGAGCGAGGTATTACTACAGTGTGTTGTTTTTTCGCTATTATGAACAGGAGGAAAATAACTCTTACTCGGCCTAATTGCTTTCACAACAGTAACTTGAAACTTTTAATGATCGCAGGCCTACCGCGCGTTAGAAGTCGAAGCAAGGCATCGGAAGGTTGTTTATGTATTTAGATCGAAGTGAAATGCATTTTTCTAAGCAGAATGATAAGGCAGACCCTGACGCAGGTATAATTGGGTTTGCATTGAACGGGTTACGATAATTATCGAGGCGTCTCGTTTAATGATACATAATAGTTTTCAAAATATTCCCCTTTCTTACTTAAAAATCACTTCGGGGGGTTGCCATTGCACTAAACCATGGCCAAAATTGCACGAAGACACTGCGGAAACCTCGAAAAATTAAAGTTGACACTTGGTTGTGTTCGCAAATTCAAATCGTATGCGCGAAAACAAAACAAATTACAAACCTTCAGGGCTTGCGGTGGGAAATATTTCACACACAAACGCAACTGAATTCATAGCTTCTTAATAATGTGTAAGAGCGCAGTCATCCGTTAGGACCCACACGCATTTTACCCATAATCAGTCTTTCTGGTATAGACACTGACAAACCGCGTCCAAACCTTAATATAGGTCATTAAAATTAGAAGAGATTTTTGAAAAAAGAAATGGTTTGAGACGGGAAACAGGATAAAACTTTGCAGCCCGGCTTTAAGCTTTGTTCCTTTGATAAACTTTTTTACTGATGCAGGTGAAATTGGAAGCAGAGATGTTCCGTTTTAAAGTTCCTACTTCCTACGCAAAATGCCTTGTTCGCACCGCAGCCGAGGAAACGTTGGTTTCCCATGACTTCTGCTCGCGGATGCCTTGTAGATTCGTGAGAGAGTCAAATGAATGCCCTGAGGACAATGTTAAATTTGTATATCGTTTAATATTATCAGATATAGGTTAAGATGTTGCTACGATAAAATTTTAACCCGCAACTAAGTCAGTACGATTTCACTACAGTGTTTTTGTTAGTGTGGTTCTTTAACTTTCGATGTAACTGTTCCATTCAAAGATAGAACAACAAAACGGTGGGAGAATTAATTCTTGCAGATGGTTTCTTTTTTTCCTATGTTCTTTTCACCCTTTTCTTGCCAAACACAGGGAGTCATTTTTAGATTCCTGTGTAAGGAAAAAGACATACCTTTCGCTCATCAACTTCTAACACGAAAACAGCTGTGCCTAGGTGCGGATAACATCAAAGGATTTGGCTGCGACTTATCCAGCCCCTCAACTTAACCGATACAAAATATCTGACTAGATGCGCTATCTTCAACGACTTAAACCTGTTTTAAGTAAACATAGCTATTGGAAAATCGAGTTATGGGAGATCTTGATAAAAGATTAAGAAAAATTAGTATGACAAGAAAACAAATGCTCTTTATCACTGAATATTCAAAACCACACTTTATTTGTGTTAGGTATGGTTTCTTTCTGTAGTCGAACAGATGAATAAGATTAGTCATCAAAAGTGTGACCGGGAAGAACTCTGAAAATCATCATTAAGATATATTTAAGAAAAAAAAGTTCCTTTTCGAACTGAGTACCTAAACTTTCGTTTGAATGAAGTAACTTACACCGGTTGAAAGTTTCGATATAATCTCATATAATATAAGTATAGAAAATCTTAATAGTTCCAAACGAGACAAGGTTCCTATACTTTTTAGTTGAGGAAACGCCCCTTTCGAAAGAGAACTTCTAAGATAATTTTTTACTAGATTTTTGAATATATGAAAAGATAAATATGAGAATTTTCACGAGGGAAAAATTATTTCAAAGAAACATCGAACGTGAATGTGGAGTTTTGCATGAGAAGATTGTGATAAGCATAATTGAAACTGTACATCAGTTGAAACTAGCTTTTAAAGAGAGCGGTCGGGCTGAGTGAGTCCACATACTGGACTCACTCAGCGATAGCGAATGGTACCCCTTAAAAAATTGTGGGTCTTCTAAACTTTACACACGATCTAGTAATTGCATCAGGCTGTATGTAAGGTCGTTAAGTCTTACATTTCTTACAGAGTCATTTCAGTGTGGGATTTTTTTTTTTTTTGGCTGAGGCTGTAGGTCTGAGGTTATAGGCTTAACTAGCCCAGGATTATCTTTTTGAGCGAAGAAAGTCTAAGTATCATTGCTGTCCTTTGAAAATATTGCGAGGTAGAAGGTGATTTATCGGAAAAACGAACGTCTGTCTGTGGGAGTACCACAACTCTATTCGACTTAAGCCTGTTATTATTCAGCAGCTTACAAAATTCTCATAAAAGTGACAGTGAAAAAATATAAAAATAATTGTTCACGCTCAATCTCGGCTTTTCAAACAGGGTTCTCCGTGTTTTGCGAGTTTCGGATTCAACGATTCGCCCGACCCTTCCAGATGGAAATCATTGATGCACATGTTTCAAACAGCCCTTATCAGCTACAATACATTTAATTGAGGACAAATAGGGTCGTATGTTTATAATTTCCTAAAAGGAAACAGCTAAATGTCACTATCATCGAAGGTCGTGGCTTTGAAATTTAAATTAACAATTTTGATCTATTCTACATTCGATTCATTCCATCAAGGCGATAACAGATTACTCACTGTACCAATTTAAGGAGGCTGCGAGGTGGTTGTCGGAAGTCCAGTTTACTACCCATAACTCATCGATAGACGTGGCTTTGAACCCAGTTTAAATTAACAATCTTGATCTGCTCAAAATTCGATTCTCCGATTAGAGGAAGTACTGAACCCGTGTGGCAAGAAATCGAGTCTCAATTAAGATGCTTGAGCGAAAACGAATACGAGTTTACAGCCGTGAGAGACAGTTTGCTCATGTGAAACCACAGAATCTATATGACAGAAAAGTCTAAATAGCGAGTTTTAGCGAAAATGGCGTAACGGCAAAAACTCAGTAGTCATCGAAACAAAAGTAGCCTTATCATTTTACCAGTAAAGATGCAGCTTAAAAGCTTCCTTTGAAGGACAGAGGTCGAATCATCTTTTTCCGCTCAAAACACCGCGTCGGGGAAATGAAACTTTCAGATATCTCATCTGGAAACTTAGCCATAGCTAACTACTTTGCCTATTCTTAGTCACACTCCATCCTGTTTGAGTCTAAAGCTTAACT